GTTCAACGGGATCGATATGGAAGTACATTTTCCAAATATGAACATGCCTTACTAGAGCTTAAAGTTCGAGAATATTTCGTAAGTGTTTAAGTGACTGATCATGAATAATAGATCAATCTTTTTTTATCTATGAAATATAAACGACAAATTGGCCATCGTAGATCAACTTCAATCAAAGACATGGCGAAGTCTTAAATGACCATACTTGTTTCTAAGACTACTTGAAAAAACTTATTGGAATAATGAGTTTATTTCACAACATAGGGTGCAATATTTCTTTCATTACGGCCGAACTGTTGTCGGAAAAGCATTCAAATCGAATATTTTACTAACTAAATTTTAGACCTCTCATTACATAACAAATGCGTTAACCAATGCCTAAAGTACCTTGATCTTTATTCATGGTTGTAAACTGATCGAAAAGAGATTGAGTTTCAGCATCGTTGAGAAGTGAACATATTCCAGCTTCATTGCAACCTCCTCAAAAGCTTCTTTTTTCCGTATACGAGCTTTTCTTATCTTGCTCTTCAAAATACTGAATACTTCTGTTATGTGTTTGTTCACTCCGTCCAAAGCTACGTAGTTGGGTAAAGACTTAAATGACCATACTTGTTTCTAAGACTACTTGAAAAAAACTTTGCAGACCCATGTTGATAGCAGTTTTTATAACTGAATTGGTTATCTTCAAGAAGAGAACGACATTTTTTAATTTCAAAGACATGTTTCGATGTTACGAACATCATCGTCAGTTACAGAATATTTGAAAAACCGTTAGGATTATATAACAACTAGGCGAAACATGCATAATTAACTATGATTAAGTGACAAAAATTACATATTTGAGTGAGTAACGAAGTGTTGGAAAGAATATAAAGCCTAAAGCATAAGCGTCATGTTGACGTGATGAACTTGTTGGTTTAAATTAAGCTTTTCCCAGTTTATGTGCATAGCCTCCTTAAGTTTAAGTTGAAATTTTAGTAGGGGCGGAATCAAGGATTTCAAAACAATCCGCAGAGCAAGATTGACGATAACTTTCTGAGTTTTGTAAATGTTTGAAGATATGTGAGGACTTGTTTGAAGAGAGATGTTCACGGACGCGTGCATTGGTTATCCTGCATAAGTATTTTATTATTATTATTATTATTATTATTATTATTCTCATTACATCTTCCTCTCGCAGTCCAAGATGCGAGAGGAAGACATCTTAGTTTCTTTTGCGCTGTTGTGTGAGTAGCCTGCGTGCAGACCCACTGATCCTTCGTCAAGTGGGTCTGCGTAATATCGAACAAAAGTGTGTAGAGAGATCCCCCGCAACTAGTTTGAAAATATGTAATCGTTGCCGATTGGCTACATTATAACGCCGCCTCTCATTGGCTTGTCCCAGTCTCTAACTCTTCAGTTCACAAGTCCTAAACGGGTTTAGTAACTCAAAAAGTGTTTGTCGGTACGTGATAAGTTCAAGCAAACCGAAGTGTGGTCCAACACATTGAAGTCTTATTAGTCTTGGTGGATGCGGCAGAGGAGACTGCATTTATCGGTCGGATTGGGCTAATTAAGTACAGCGTCAGGGAAGTGAGACTCCTTACTCGCTGGAGTGGAAGTGAGCACATTCCTTCCTTGAAGCTCTTCATCCAGAAGTGACTTTTTCAGCGTAACGGGAATAGGTAAATCTCCTCCATCATGCGCACGTTAGTTCTGGGTAGTTACGCTGTTTCGGAAAGTTTCTTCGATCTCATGTACCTGGAGAAGCATATTTAGTCTCTTTTTCAGCTTGTTCAAACAACTTCTACAAACGAATGGAGATGTATTCGGCACGTCAAATGGGAGCGTCTGTATTGCAGCATAAATTTCGAACTTTCCTCTTCCATCCACTGGATATCTTTCATAGTCCTTTTCGATCAAGTTCACGCAAAAATTGCATGCCGTTTGAGTTCCCATCTGTACTTTACATAGCGTTAAAAAATCAAAACATCCGGGCAAAAATATAGAATTTTTTCGACCTGTAAAAATCAAAACATCGACCGCGTAGATAGAGACTGGGACGAGCCAATGAGGGGCCGCATTATAAGGTAGTCAATCGGCAACGATTATATATTTTCAAACTAGTTGCGGGGGGTCTCTCTACACGTTTTTGTTCGATATTACGCAGACCCCCTTGACGGAGGACCAGTTGGGCTGCACGCAAGCTGTTGTGTGAGTGACTTTTCTTTCAAATGCGAGAGAGAAACATTTCAACTCTCTCCAACAAGACGTCGACAAGTACTAAATCCAAGGAGTTTCAAGAATTAACAGAAGCTTCTTTGTCTTCATATTTCGCGGAAATTGCACGAGATTTCGATTAATTTCCGTTATTTCGATTTCTCGGAAACAACTGGATGCTTTTTTACTCATGCAGTGATATGAAAAGTAATAAGTGTTTCAAGTTCCACTTCGTTTCGCATGATACTTTATAACGTAAAGCCTTTGAAGTAGTCACAAGATTGGTTGGACACATCCCTAAACGTCCCAAAGCATCAAGGTGACTAGAAAAAATATAAATATTGCGTGAATTTTTCCAAACAAACTAATGAATCCCTCCTTGAAGCGGACTTGCTGGAGCTTAGCGCTTGGCCACCCTTACTGGGTTTTTCAAGACCTGTTCCGACGAGATAAATCATGGGTTTACTGTGTGCAAGAAAGATGCTAGAACGACAAAACTAGAATTCTGCCCTACGTTAAGGGAATAACTTTCTAAAGAAACCATGACGTTGCATCGGTGGAGTAGTATTACCAGAAATTTTATCATTTGAGTTGATAACGTAAGCTGATGTTTCGAACGCTAGCCCTTCGTCAGAGCCGAAGGTACCTTTTCTGAGAAAATTTCTACAACAAATCAGTGTTCTTGGTAATAAATGAACATTTCCAGGTAAGACAAGGCTTAACTCTGCAAGAAAGTTGTTGTGTTCAAATGTATATCCTTTTCGCTGAATGAACAGGTCATAACTTTTTGTTGTGATAGAGCTACGCAGTTAAAAACCTGTTTTGCTATTTCATGATACTACACAGTTAAAAACGTTTTTGCTTTTTCGGGACACTCTTCCCTTTCAGCAACTTTAATTTGTTGTTTTACATTGACGGTAGTTTCAGCAACATAGACCAAAAACTTACCAGTGGAAAACCAGATTTAGCTTTGACCAAATCCTCTCCCTTCATTTAAGTTGAAAATTTATCACTAGGAAACAGCTTATTCATGCTCTTAAATTCCTACACTGCGCTGGCTAGATGCTAAATCCTCCATTTTCTGGTTAATATACCACCGACGAGAGCTTTTACGGATTTCCAGTCAGACACAGTTTTCTCAAAGGTTTATTTTTGCAACTCAAGTTTGTCTAAGTGACAACAGTAGTTATTAACCGATCAATAATTCTTCACAATCAGGAACAAGATACGATTGTTAAAAGACTAGAAGAGTCCAATCCAGATGACAAAGTTACAAAAGCATCTTATTTCTCTAATTCACTAATGTAACATAGCTAGGAAAAAAAACCGACCGTTTAAAATCAGTTCTAGTCTAATCAGGAAGTGAAATTGACAGCAATGCCCTTAATTTTCGAACACAAACACTTCCATTTCATTCACAAGAAAGTTTTGATTTCCTGTTAGAAACATGGCACCATTCTGACCAACTGGACACTGATATGCATTGTGAACATTTGCACTGCAGTAATTAGAATTTGGAGAATTATTTATGAGAAGATCTTGACTACC